GGATCCGAAAAAAATAGTTAATTTCCAAAGTAAAATCAATTTAGACTTAATTAGTTATCGTAATCAAGTTGCATTAAACCTTATCAGTTAATTTCATTACTTGAGAACGTTAGTTAAGATGAACGTGCTGCGAAATAAATCATACTATGTATATAAGGCAATCTAACGTGCCATATCTCCGAGAAAAGGTTTGGATAGTTAAGATAAGTCAAAGGCATTTCGATGATAACAAACATAAAAATAGAATTCAAATTCACGTGTTATATGTAAATTAAAATATAAATTAATACTAACTAACTAAATTTCACAGAGAGGGATTTAATGTTATTATTTTGTTATTTCAACGGCTAGGACTTTCATTTTTGCATAGTAACATTAATTTATGTTGTCTACGGACTGATAACAACAGATTCCCGTAAATCACGGTAATTTGGTTGCTACGACATTTACGCAGATTTAATTTGGCGACATAATTACCGAAATGGAGACTTCATCAAATACTAATTACGCGTAATTGCACTATCCCCGACGAAATATTAACGTAAATATCGAACATTAAGAAAAAATTCGTAAGAGACGCTATGCTGACTAAGCCACGAACTAGCGGAACTTTCGAATTGTTCTATATATTTGTTACAAATCTTCGTTTTTGGTTTTTAAAGACTTTTTTGCCGTAGCAAGAAATAGATTTCTCATAGAAAACGGCAAAAATAATTATAAATTTATAAATGAACAATAATAACCTGTTTACTAAAATCGACCTCAAAAGTTCTATTTGCCAAGTTTTATTGCAATCGGGTAACGGGAAGTGGGTGAAATCTAATAAACCGGATTCATTATATTCCACCTCTAAGGGTGGTAAATTTATTAATAATTAGTAATTTGCCACTCTTAGAAGTGAAATATTTTCTTCAAATTTGAATAGGACCACTACTGAGGTTACGTCCTTTCTAACAAAAAAGAACTTCGAAATTGGTTCAAAATAGTATCGCGTAACATACATAAAAATACAGTAAAATTGAGAACCTCCCCCGTTTTTCAAACTTCTGTATTTTGACTTCCTCTATTAAAAATAGAGATTACAAAATACCTACAATCGTTCCCACAACAATAATTCCTATCAATAACAAAACACATTTTTAGGTGGTAAATGAAACGAAAGTACAAAATAATCTCAGTACAGGAGTACTAAAAAAAACCGACTTTAAAAGTTCGTGGAATTATATCCATTTGTCAAGTTTTATTGAAATCGGTTACCGGAAAGTGCGGGAATACCACCACCCTTAGAGGTGGAATATTTTATTCAAAATTAAATGGGATTATTACTGAAGTACCTATGAAAAAAGAATCATCAGAATCGGTTTGCGAAGGAGTTATCGCTAACATACATAAAAAACTGTCGATTTGAGTACCTCCTCCTTTTTTTGAAGTCGGCCAATAACGTATTTACAAGTAATCCAAGTACTGCCCTGTCCTGACCAGTATTTAGGTAATCAATAAATTCATCCTATAGCTATAGATGCGAGTGTTGAAGAGATGTTAAGCCTTTTTTCTTTGTAATATCAAGTGACGGGATGAACAGGTCGTGCGCCTGATGGTAAGCTATACGCCTGTCCATAACAGTTGCAGAGTCACTCAGAGCTTTAAGTCGCAAAGATCTGAGGGGCACTGCCACTGCGCTCGTCACCCTGAAACATAAGTTGACAAGTCTTATGTGCCCATAATATCACCAGTCTTGAATGAAATAAATATTTTAGTAGATGTAGAGCTAGCTCCTTGTGAAAGAGTACGTCCAGAGACGTAGGTGGTAGTACCACCTTACTTATTACTGCGTTCCGATTTTGAAGGATAAGGGTTCTGGTGAAATTCGTGAGCATGAGACTTGTCAACATACACACATCAAAAAAAGTTTGCGATCACTTCGAAAAACTGAAATCTTTTTTGTTATTGTAGATTATATTATGATTTTTTCTTCTTTTTAGATTCTTTATTTAAAAATAAATTAGAACATAAAACAATGACCCCGTTCAATTGTTTTTTCATATAAAAAGGCTTTCAGTCCTAGCTTACGCTCATTCAGAAATCTGATTTAGTCAATTATAAGCGATTCAAGATATTTTTTGCGGAAAGTTGTGATTGAAAAAATGCCAAGAGGATTATCAGAGGTTTTACGAGCTAGAATAGTAACTTTGAGGGAAGAAGGATACACCACGAGAGTAATAGCACGCAGACTTGCTATATCCCAATCCTGTGTCGTGGCTACGTTGCAGAGGTATCACGGAATGGGGAATTTAGCTGACCGACCCCGCAGCGGTCGCCCAACTGTTTTGACAGCTGCCCAAAAGCGCTATATTAGATTGCTGGCAGCCCGTGATCCAACAATCAACGCCACTAAAATAAAAGCAGAAGTCAGGGCCGCCTCTGGGCTTGAAGTTAGCACGCAGACCGTTCGCAATTGCTTGCACCAGGCTGGATTACGAGCACGGAGGTCTTGACGAGCTCCGCTCAATTCCCGGCAACGTCAACAACGAAGATTGCAGTGGGCTAGACTTCGGCAAAATGAAGAAGGTGAGGACGAAAACATTTGGCAAAACTGTCTCTTCGTTGACGAATCCCGAATCAGCACTCATCTAGATAACCGACGTATCCGTGTCTGGAGAAGACCAGGCGACCGTGAAAGACAAAGAACTGCCACTGGAACAGTTCAGCAAGGCGGAAAATCGGTGTCCTTTTGGGGTGGCATTATGATTGGAGCTAGAACGCCTTTGATCCCGTATCGGGGCTTCATGACAGCAGACATGTACAAAGCAGTTGCTATTGATGATATCGTCAGACCATTCCGAGTAAACCATGGGCACCAATTTGTACTGGTCGATGATAATGCGCCCGCACATCGAGCTCAACGAGTCAATGCTACTCTTCAAGAATACGATATCACACGATTAGACTGGCCTGCCGGCTCGCCCGACTTAAACCCAATAGAGCACGCGTGGGATGCTCTTAAACGAGCAGTATGGAACCGTGAGCCACGTCCCCAGACAGTTCCGGAGCTCAGGGAAGCCGCTATTGAAGAATGGGATAGGTTACCCCAGGAAATGCTGGATAACTTGATCCTCAGCATGCCCAGGAGGATCTTCGCATGTATTCGAGCCAGGGGAGGAGTTATTTTATATTGAATTCACACCTTTTAATAATAAATTGTTGTTTAAGTTTAATTAAACAGTCTTTTTCTTTCTATGAAATTTCTATCACTATTACATTATGATTAATGGCTCAATTTTTTAAAATAAATAATAAAAAATAGTTTTATATTTTAATTTCAAACAGGGTATTCCTATTTAAAGAAAGCATACAACATAGATTTTTTCTTGATTAAGTTAAATTTAAAGAATTATAGGTTATTTATAGCTATTGATCGCAAACTTTTTTTGATGTGTGTATGTCTCAGGATGACGAGCGCAATGGCAGTGTTCCTCCGATTTTAGACTTTGAGATGTACTGCAACTGTTATTGACTGGCGTGTCGCTTACCACCAAACGCACAACTTATTGTCTTATAACGCATCACTATTACACGTATGTAGATTAAAGGGATATTCCAACGATAAAAATAATGCGTGTGAGTCAAGGTATATAACAAACAACTTAGCCAAACAATGTTAAATGGTTGGGTAATAATTAAGTCTATTTAAATGATAATAATAACTGCAGATTGACAATTGATAAATAACACACAGTGTGTTATTGCGTATTCTGTTTGATTAATTTATCAGATATTCATTTGATATATATCTAGATAAATAAATCACCTACGCAATGATTTTAATCGTAAGTAAGACAAAAACTTTCGTTATTTATAATTTTTATTAAATAAACAGAGTCAATGCTCTTTGCTACTTTGCTTTGCTCCTGTTTGATTTGATGTGATGATTTACTTCTTGGACATTTTTACTCTTGTTGACTGTACGTAAAGAGGAATCATATTTTCTCAGTCGAGTGTGGCATTAAGTTCAATAGACGTCTTATATAATATAATTTGCAATGGAACCTCGCACAATTCCTTCAATGGCGATTTTGTCACTAAACATTTATTGTTTGGATTATGTTAAGGTGCTTACATTTAATTTTAATTTGATGAAGCAAAACTTGAGACATGTTACTTAATTAAGCATTGAACTATGTAGTAGTCTACTACTAGTATTTCCAAATATTTTGACTATTTTTCAACGATAAATTATTTTATTATTTTCTTAATTTTTATCTACCGTTATTAATTCACAAAATATATATTTATATATATACACCTTTTAACAAATATATATAATTGATAAATATTTGATAACAAATTATATAATTGATAACTGTGAAATAAATACATAAATTCGTTATTAATTTTAAAATAAATGATAAAGATAATCGTATCATAAAAATACATAGGTTCTTACATACAAAGGATATTCAAGGTCCGAAAAATAAATGGGTGGAAAGAGGGACAAAGAATAAAAAAGAATAGTCTACTATTACACAAAAATTATAATGACATATTGTAAACCATATTTTAGGCAAATGAATATCATTCGTTCATTCTTTTTAATATTAATGAAACATGATATAATGAACGGTCAATACAAAGTTTTATTTTATTGAAATTGGCTGACTCATTATTTTTAATCTAATTCAAATTGGTATACACATTCTAAACTATGGAAATGATCTAGTCACCCTCAAAATTAAGTACTTATGTGCACGTTAATAATAGAAAATTTCGTGTTTGTAATGCAGTCAATGAAACTATGTATGATACATTTTGCACGTTCACCGAATAAATGACCAATTGTAATGGAAATTTATGCGCTCATGGTCTATGTAATTTCAATAAGAGTGACAGTGTAAATGTCGGGAGGGCACCTCCCGCAAAGGACATCTTTTTCGTAAGCAACAAATACGCCGCGATAAATAATAGTGGAAACGCAATGTGTATTTTGTAGGCAAATAATCGATATGCGGGATAAAGATAAAGATGCAGATGGCAAGTTCCGTAAGGTTATTCCTGATGTGATGGCGAGTCAGTTCGCAATATCGCCAATTCAGTCAATTGTGTACCTCCGCGCCGGCCGTGTCTCCTGCTGACAGGTATGTGCGCTCAAAATGACATTTAATTCTTTTTTAACGATAATTGGCCTTCCATTTGAAAATGATAACATAATGTCCGAACAATCAATTATTACGGGTCATTTGCCAGAGCAGCCGTCAACGATAACTACACATCGCCGCTGCTGTCTGTGATTATTTCGTGTGTTTTGTTTAAACAAATCGATTTAATTCGTAGTGACAATTAACTCCAACGATTTTGGGTGCTTATTCCAACTAAATCATTGTGAAATTAACCTTCAAAATTTTAATAAAGTGAAATAGTGATGTCTTTCATAAGAAAGTTATCGTTTAAAAAAAAATCTCCAATAGAATGCTCCGAGAAACCAGTAGCGGCGCCGATCCAAACTGACCTTCCCACTGTACAAAACGGAGACAAAGCTGTGTCTTTGCAAGAGCTGACTGCAATGTCGGAAAATGATGAAAGTGTCGCGACTGAGCTATTGGGCACGCCGGTGTTGCAATGTGCCGAAAACAATGGGGAGTTAAGGAATAACCTAACTGTCGGATATTCACTTCGTAACGACATCGAAAGCGTTGAAATATTGGAACTTCCATCGTCACCGTCAGTTAATAACATTGGGAGTGACCCCGATGACCCTGATGCCTCAACTACTCCAAACAAAGCTTCGTCGTGAGTACTTAAGTCATAGATTTCAATTTATGACCAGAATTATAACATAAGTGATTTTATATATTTCTTAAATTAAATACTTATATAATTCTATTGTTCAGATAAACTGCATTGTTATCGGAAATCAATTCGTATTCAGTAAGCAAAACATCGATTAAATACTTCTACTATTTATGGTGCAAGTGTGTAGATACAAAAATATATACAATTTTTTTTATAGGGTCATGGCGTAAAATCAGACGCGTTTGTACACATTGAGTTATATACTCGATTTTTGTACACAAATAGATAATAGAGCTTTTGAGCACGTGAAATTTAGAAACCATATAAGTCTTTAACGAAAACTGGCAAAACCAAGGTCCTTTTTACGTCGTGTGTACTGAATGTTAATGAACTTGATTACTTTGAAACGCATGAAACGCTCTCGCGGGAACTTGCTTTCTAAAAGTTACAATAAACAAACAGATTTGCATTATGTCAATTTTTAGATGGTGTGGAAAGACATGTTATATAGGAACTATTTACTAATACTAATAAAAATTAATAAGTGGAACCAAAAAACTATAAAATATATAAATATAAAAATGTTCACTATCAGGAAAAAATATTATTCTTATGATATAGATAATACTAAAATTAAATTAACCGACGCTTAATAGATTTTCTATTAAGGACGGGTAGATCTTGACAGTTCATAGCAGTGATGTTGTTGAGGCTGCTTTTGTGAACGAATCTGTATTTATTTTTCACCGACTCTTGATGGAAAACCCTTTACATTATGTAAAATCCCACTACTGACTAATAAAATAAATATATAAATAAGATAAGATAATAATAAGATCTACTGATATAATTTTGTAGGAAAATAAAATAAATAATAATGGTTAATAATAATAAATAAATAAATATAGAAGAAACACCAGACTTAGTGCAGACTTCAAAATGTAAACGTTAAGGAAAATAAATAATAGATGGTAACAATTTTATTGAAAAGCCACAAAACAGGTATAAAAGTTGTGCCTACCTCCCAAAATAGGATCGCCAACACTATAAGTAACAAGGTCTTACGACAGTCACACTTATTGCTTTAATATAACAAAAAGTCTATTGCAATAAAATTTCTAAAATATGGTACGTAGAACACAAAAAGTGTGATGAGAGTCTTGTGGTTTATTACATCTAACCTTGGATACGTTACTTATACATTATAAATAGATAATAAAAAATAATTTTTAGAATGTACTCGCCACAGAATATACGTGCTATCGTAAACTATTGTAGTGATTGCATAGTAGTTTAAAATAATAACAATATGCATTTTTTTATAATATCAAGTGAAGGGACGAACAAGTTGTGCGCCTGAAAATTATGAAAATAGAGAATTCTCTGACGAGTACCTACTAAAGCAACGAAGTTAATTACAGTTTACTACCCAGAGCGTTATTCTCGAAGCACGAAATCCGTAGTTACGGCCGTTTTCCCACTATGAATGACCTACGGAACTACTCTCGAAGTCCGTCAACGCAAAGACCCGTTCCCGTTCGGAACTGTTCCCGGGCCCGTTCGAAACTGTCAAATCGCATTGTCATACGTTCTTAGTTTTAACGTTAGTACATAGATATCGTTGTCTAGCCCCCATTGAAACTCAAATCTTTAGGTCAACTACAGTGGAAAAACGGCCGTAACTACGGATTTAGGGGTTCAGAACCAATTTCAAAATTCTATCGCGAATCTTACCTATGGTAATGAGGTCTTAAAATCGTAGAACCATCTTATTGCGCTTGCAGCGGATGGCCTTAGTCTATACTGAGTCCATTTTTATCGTACATTCTTTATTGAATTGGCATTCTATTGGATTTAATATGGTGGTAGCTGAATGGGAAAACTTGATTTCTAAATTGAGAGGTCGATAAATCGAGTTCCAATGGCAGTTTGAGTGATGGCCTATGACTTTTAGTTTTTTTTTTACACCAAGTTGCGGGACGCACAAGTCGTGCCCTGGTGGTAAACGACACATCTGGCCATAACAGTTGCAGTGTCGCTCAGAGCTTTATCTGAGGGGCACTACCATTGCGCCATTCACCCTGAGACATAATTTGTAAAGTCTGTAATTCTACCAGCATACAGCCCTCAAAACCGAAACCCTGTAATGCTTACACTACTTCTTGGCGATATAAATAGGTAAGGTAGAGCCGTACGTTTCCTGGGCGAATTCTTTCACAAGGATCTCTACTGTTATTAAAACTTATTACATAGTTAATGTACATTTGTTAATATTTAATAACAATACATCTCGCTAATGGTGATGAAAAAAAATATCATGATCGAAGTTGTATGTCGAAGGCCGTTCACAACTATTGGACAACGTGTAAAATCACCAATCTCAATTAAGGCAACGTTACCTTTTTGTTTGACGACCTCAGTGGCCCAATTGTTTGCACTGTAGGCGCTGGATGAAGACGTCCGGGGTTCGATTCCGGGTAGGTTCAATTTGCGATATGAATTTTTCTAAATTGGTTTTTGTCTGGGTGTTCTGGTAATTAGCAGAAGAGCTCCTTGTGAAAGAGTTCGTCCAGGGTAGTACTGCCACCTTACCTATTTCTGTCGCAAGCAGTAATGTTAGCATTTCTGTGATCCGGCTTTGAACGGTAAGGGTGCTGGTGAAATTACAGGCACATGGGACTTTTCAACTTATGTCTCGGGATGACGGGCGCAATTATAGTGCCCCACAGATCTTTGCAATTTAAAGCTCTGAGTGGCACTGTAACTGTTATGGACAGGCGTATAGCTTACCTTCAAGCGCATGACTTGTTCGTTCCGTCACTTGATGTTATAAAAAAAAGTGCCTCATAGTGAATTCCGTTGCTCTGGTACTCATAGTATGGGGAATTGCTCTAGTTTGAGACCAGGTAATTGGTGTGATGGTCAGAAGAACTTTCATCTTGAGAATCTTGGTCTCGAAGATTTCGAGACTCGAGACAGATGTTTTCAGTCTCGGGAATACTGAGACTTAAGTCACGTAATTGAAGCTTAAAGAAGCAAAACCTAAACCTAAAAACTGTGAATTTTATTTTGTTTGTTTCGTCTATTGCTTCAAGGCGGTAATTCAGTTTGTTGCAGAGACGTATAGATGCTTCGAAAATCGCTTCGAAAAACGGGGGTAATGTGCAAAAATGACACTTTCCAATTCTAAATAGAATTGGAAAGTGCACCCTAAATGTGTTTACAAGTTTTCTTCTATCTTTATTTACAAGTGGTTACGTTAATAAATCAAAAAAAAAAATATAGTGTTTTTCAAGCTTAACAAACAATAGTCCATAATATAAAGTATATAGTGTCTACAGCATTAAAAACCAGAATCAATTACCGCCACGATGGTTTGAAATATTTATTTGTATTTATAAACAAAGAATGTTATATTGTGACATATAATGCAAATACATAACTTTGACTTTGTGTCTTACAAAATGGGTCGTAAGATAAAAGTAAACATTTAAAATCGCGGTGGTTACTCATTTGAGATCAAAGTCCTCTCTCAACAACCAGTACCACTTTATCGTTGTGTTTTTGTAAACAAACGTTTTTAATTACATAATTTAATTACATTGTCGTTGCGTATTATTACAATTATTAATCTAACAACAAGAAGACCTAGTAAATAATAATAATAACGCACACACTAATAGCCGCGCACTAGAGAAACCTCACAAGAGAAATAAATATAGGCCATACAAATATTTCTCCAGGCCAGGGAATCGAACCCGCGTTCGTCTCGTGCGACTCTGCGTGGCCGCTCCACGGTAACCGTTCGGCCACTGAGGCAGTTAAATCTGATTGTTTTCTTAATGTTACTCGAGGACAAAGATTACGAAAATCAAGGATTTTGTATATCGGAACATAATAATAACTGTAATAATAATTTCCACAACAGACATTTATCCCCAATCACCTTGCAAAGCCTCAAATTATTAGATTATGAAGAAACCAATACCTTGCAAAAAGCTGTAATTTTAAATACATCCGTCATTGTCAGAAAATTCATGCAGATAGAAGAAGACGAAACAGGCTCTAATTACAATACACCCTGAGCATAGATACATATACAGTACTGCATTTACTTGTCATAGTGGTTAAAACCAGCCAACAGGCTGAGAAAAAGATTAACAAAAAAAACGAATAATAATATTAAACGTACACCGCATGTAATTGTCAGGAAGTATGTTGCCAGTTCAACCCAAAATATTTCTATCTACACCCAAAACATTCCCCATAACAATAATAATAAATAATAAATTGTATTGTAAATCATCCGCCGCCACCTTACCACATATTAATCAGATATAATGCATTGCCAGTTCGGCCCGTATTATCTTTATTATCACCCTTTAAGGTTAAATTATCATCACCACAATAAATTATCAAAGAATTCCCATAATGAATAATTAATAATAAATCATCCGCCGCCATCTTAGACCTTACATGCAATAATCAGGTAGCGTATTGCCGGTGCGATCCACACTATCTCTATAATCACCCATTGTGGTGTACCACGGAGATTCAAAATAATAATAGTAATAAGGTCGTCTATTATCTCCCATTAAATACAAAATATAAGTAAAATTATAGAACATAGACTACAAAGAAGGAACGCTGCCAGCATCATTTAATTTAAGTCTAGTTTTAGTTTCTACTACTTAAGCTTTTATTGTAATGAATACCAACCTCAGCTTGTTTAAATTGAAAGAAATACATATAGAACATAGGTTCAAATATAAGAGACAGGATCCTAAATTACGCGAGTCCTATGCTATGGCACCACTCTCGATAATAGTACAGGTAGTGAACAAAATGCATACATTTACTACAAAATTAAATGAATAAAATTCCTGTTTACCTGGAGTCATAAACAGGAGGTAGATAATTTAAACTTAATTAAAAACTCATATTGTTTTTCTTTTTTATTATATATTATTATATTATTTAAGAATAAGTAAAAAATA